TGTTCCCTCCCAGCCTCTTACCCACCCTCAGCCTCCTCACCCGGGTTGCAGAGAGAGAAAAACAGGGACATTGACGCTGTGCAAGTACTGCCAGCAATAGCTAAACCAGACTGTTTTAGTCACCAATCTTAAAACACAGTGCCCTACCTACGGGCTGCTATAACAAAATTTAATTCCATCCCAGCCAAACCCAGTACAAGACCAGAAACACCAGAAGTATGAGAGAAACGTTGTGTGGGTAACAAACATTTTGGTAAAGATGCCTCACACTTTTTTAGGGTAAAGTTAACAGTATAAGGATGAATACTGTATTTATGCAAAATGGGCTAATCAAAACCCTACAGGAAGAATAGCCTTTGCTTCTTTCTTACTCAGTTTACTAACTTTCATCAGCTGTCAAAACGCTGAACTACAGCAGAACTGATGTTGGCTACTTCAGTCAGACAAACCTCTATGGACTTGGTCAATATGTTAGAAATGCTTTCTGTGGCATTCCATCTCTGCTTCCCAACTTTTATGTGCAACAGGACAGTGTGCAATTACCAAAATATGGAAATATAATCATGTCTATGCCTTTAAAATTCATTTTTTGAGGGCAAAAAGAGGAACAAGCTTCTGAACTGAAACTAGAAGCAATACGCAAAGGATTCTGAACTTGTTCCTTCTTTAGGTGAGACCAGCCAGCTTTGAATTTACAGCCCAGAAACTAGATCTAGATTTTACAGCATTCTTAGCAAGCTAGGGTATAAAATAGTATCTTCAAGCAAGATTTCTGCTCTGAGGATTATTCCTGTTGTTTGTCCACTGACATACACATGTATCTATCTATATACACATGCATAGTATTGCTTTTATTCCTTAGTGCAAAGGCTCCGCCCCAAAAGTGCTCTAAACCACCAATATAAGAAATATACTCCTTTTAACATTCTTCTGTCATTCTTTGCATTTACAAGGCTAGCAAAAAATCTATCACTCCTCTGTGGTAGGACGTGATGAAAATTAATGGAAGTTTCATTAACTTCTTAATTGGAAAAAAGTTTCAACTACCCCCACAGAGTTACACTGTTCCCTCTTCCTGTACAGTGTCAATCTTCTGCTCCAAAAAACCCCCCAAAACCCCACCAAATAACCCCCCACCCTTTTTTTTTCCTGAAAAATCTCAGGCAAAAAAGTCTTGCCATTCTGTATCTGCTTTCACATAAATGCCACAGCATTGGTAATTACTGCCACAATCTGAAATAGTAATCTGGCAATTTTTCCAAGTGGGGTTTGGCCCTGTTATGTTAGTTGGCATATGGAAGCAGGAAAGGCTACTTCTTAGGGTTTAAACTGGAGGAGACAGTGATGTACATGTAAGTGAAGTCTGGCAGCTTAGAATTTAATTGTTAAAGGGAAAGTTAATGTATAAACTGACACTGAATAGTTTTTGTATGTTTAAAAGTGTTTTATACAGTGACACAAACAGAGCAAGAATCTTACTGGAACAAAAGCCCCCTGTACAAAAGCACACTGCTAGAAGAGTTCTCTGCTATGTTTTGTCACATCCCTGAAGTTCTAACAGGTAGTCTGACGCTCAGTGCATGGTGGCACAGACTTCACCGTGGAAACAGCTAGCTGTCAATATATGCAACTTTAACTTACTGATGTTCTAACAGACCAGCGTAAAATGATAATTCCAAAAGCTCTTTCAGTTTGTACATGTGTCTTAGGCTGTCAAACACAAAAGAGTATGTATCATCTTATGTCATACACACGATACTGTTTAAGACAGAAAAAGTTGCACTCCAGGAATTGGTTTTAGTGAATCACAGGAAAAAAGTAAACACACTACAGAAAAACTTATTATCTGCATAATTGGAGTTATACATAGTGAATTGCAAATTTATGAAAATAAAAACATCTTTAATAGTCACAGATTGAAAGTTAAAGACAACAGTACGTGAATAGTTATTGGTCATTGTCAAAACTAAAAAAATGCAAGTGTGCAAAGCACTATCTTCATAAAATACGCAATTTCCAGTACTGAGATACATAGTTGTTGGAAGATTTGGCAAAGCAAAACAGACTGGAATGTTAATTGTGATCATCCACAACTTCCTTCCTTTTGATTTAGATGCTCATAACACACTGTATGAACTGAAAAAAGAATAACCACTTATTAGATGTATGGTAAGAGAACAAGTTTTCACTTTTTCCTCCTAGAATACCCATTGTCACTACCTTCTTCTGTAAACAAATTCAGTCCATGAACAACAAAGCTTTAGAGCTAAATATGAAAACTAGCTAACAGTTAATTAAAATAAAGCATATCCTTAATAATAACAACAAAAAACCCAGGAATAGTTGAATCTAGTGTTCTCTTTTTCCTGCACACATGTGGCCAGGAAGCCAAGATCTACAAGCCTGACTGAATATAATCTGTGTCTGTCCCCACCACACCTCCCCCAACCTTTCCTAGGAAAAATGCCTACCAAGCCTTAAAACAAAAGATGAAAAAAAAAGTCACAGAAAGTGATGTTAGCAAGCAACATAGCCTCTTAGATCTTATTGAACCACGCTGGTAAAGTCCAGACAAAAATGCATGACGACATTTTATAGAACTCTATCAAATATATGAAAACTTTTTGAGACAATACTCAACAAACCCTAGAACCTTTGTGCCCTCAGGTACTGCCGTAAGTGTAGGG